CGGGCACCTGCGCCCTGCCCGTTGGGGTTCTGTGTGTGGCCCACGAGACGCTTTGCTACTGGTGCCCACCTGCAGGGTTGCCAGAGTCCGCTGGTTTCCCTCCACAGAGTCTTTTTCCGACAGGGATTACGTTTTATTCGCATGCAGCGCACGGCATTGGAAAATCGCTGCCTCCCGGACCAGCTATCCCGGATCGCCTCGCTCCCTGCGAAATCTCCCGCACGCCAAGCTAGACGTGGAGCTGTGGACTGTGCATTCTGGTGAAAGGGCCCTGGCTGTGCAACATGCCCCTACAGCGGGGCACCAGAGCCTGCTGATCGCCAGGAGAAGGCCAGGTTCATCTGGGTGGCCAATCCTCCGTTGGCCTTAGAACAGGGCCGGGCAAGTGAGGCTAGCGGCCTCCCGCATCTCAGGGTGGCCGTCACCAAGCCAGTCTCCTGGGCAAGGGCAGTTTTGCTCCCTGCCCTGGCGTCCCTAGAGTGCAGGGGCGGTGCCGACATACCCGTGGCAGCGCTGGGATTGGCTGCAGAGGGAGCGCCCGGCTCTCCGGCAGCGTTGGGTGCGGTCGGCCCACACCTCACTTCCCGCGCCCTGGCTCTAAAGCGCGCGTCACTTTCGTAACACTGGTAGGAAAAAACCTACGCGGACGGAAACCAGCAGAATCTGGCGACCTTCGCGTGGGCACTGGGAACAAAACATCTGGTGGGCCACACAGAACCCTGACGGGCCACAAGCATCCCCGGGACGTGGACTGCCCACCGCTGCCTTACAAGCTAAACCCCACAATCCTAGGCTGGGACGTCGTGGGGACTGTGTTCGCTGTTTGCTTTGTGATGCTGTGTGGATTCCTATTGTCCTGTGCTGCTCTGCAGACAGACAGACAGACAGAGACCGACCTACGGAATGGCCCAGGTCAACCTGTCACCTGACCGGAGGGGGAAGATGCAACCAGTAACAGTCAGATAACACCTTGGACCTGGGAAGCAGGACATAGGAGGGGACAGGGCTGCCTGGAGGCCTGGGACCAGCTGCTGGCTGCGTGAGTGAGTTTTTCGGCTGACTTAGGGAGAAGGGAGTCTAGCTGGCTTGGGGGGGGCCAGGCAGGGGCCCAGAGTACTGGCTCTGGGCCCCCCATCCCCAAGGTGGATTGTACTGACGGCTCCTGGTTCCTGTAACAAGAAGTCTGTGCTTCGCTGTGTCCCTGTGACCCAATAAACCGTCTGTTCTACTTGCCGGCTCAGAGTCCCGTCTGACTGCCGACGGGGGGGGGCTGTGCCACTCTGTGACAAAGGCCAGCTGGCGCTTTGAGGCAGACAGCACTTACTCCAGCCTCCTGTGACGAGGTGTAGGTTAATAAAGAGCAAGTCCAGCTATCACAGCCAAGGGCGCACAATAACCCTCACCCCGCCCCCCCTTCCACGGGCTGTGGAGAGACACACTCACACCCTGGCTTCACTGCACCCCGTTCAGAACAAAAAGTCACTCCAATAGGAGTGGCCGGCGGGTGCCGGGTTCAGCTGCTGGCCGCTCCGGCCGTACCTCGTTAGGGAAGAACTTGACGTGGATGTTGTGTTTTCGGAGGCGATGTTGCATCATCAGCATTTCGTCGCTGGGCGTGAAGCAGTGCTGGCACACAGCGATCATTTTGCTGTCCTGGAACGCCTCTGCCACCTGGCGGTGTAACAGCTTTGCATAGCCGTTCTCCTGGGAGCGGGAGAGCCGTATTTATTACATGCCATTGTCCAAGCCTAGGGCTGGGGGGCCCCGGCGGCCACACTGAAGCCCGCACAGAGAGCAGTTAAGCAGAACCCGACCGTCACAGAACACCCTTCATCCAAGGCTTTCCCAGAGGCAGGCCCCATCCCCCATGTACAGATGGGAGAACTGAGCTCACAGAGATTCAGCGCCCCATGGTCACACACAGCGTAAGTGGCAGGGCCAGGGTGAGAACCCTGTGTCCCGTTTTAGCCAGCAGCCCATGTGCACTAAGGGTCTGATCCAGCACTAACTGACATCCCCAGGCCAGTAGCTTAGCCAGGAGCTGGACTGGGTCCGTCACCAAGGCAGAGCCAAGAGGGGAAAGAGCACAAGGCAAAAGTTGAAGAGGCTGGCTCTGGAGGGACAGCAGGGGCAAGGGTTGCCAGGTGGCCGGTTTTCACCCTGACAGTCCGTTATTTCTGGCCCTTGTCCGGTAAAAAAGAAACAGAAAATACCGGACATTTTAAATGTCTGGTATTTTCTGCTTTTCTTGGACGGAAAGCCGGTGGGGACATTGTTCCCCTGCCATGTCTGCGTTGTCTGGTTTTCGCCTGGACAGTCTGTTGTTTCTGGCCCCTGTCCAGTAAAAAAAACCCAGAAAATACCAGACATGTAAAATGTCCGGTATTTTCTGTTTTTCTTGGACAGAAGACCGGCAGGGACATTGTTTCCCTGCTGTGGGGAAGTGGGGAGCATGGCAAATCTTAAAGGCGACCTTTTTTTTGTTCTCCTGGTATTTGGGGTTTTTTTTTTTGTTTAACAACTTTCAGCAAAAAGTTTGGTCTCCTTTTTCTTTTCCCCCCTGCCATGTTCAGGACTTTGGGTGAAAGCATCTGGCAAGCCTAGCAGGGGCATAAGGCCTGATGTGAGAGAAGCCAAACATCCCCAGCTCATACAGGCGTGGCTGGGATGCCCAGCATCAGTGATGAAGCAGGCACGCAAACAGAAGGGCTGATCAGAACTTAAAGCCAAAGGCAGGTCGAAAAGATGAGAAACGTGGGAGACGGGATTCAAGCCTTTATCGCTCAAGAAGCTGAGAGGAAAAAAGAAAAACAACAGGGCAACGAAAGGGACGTCTAGACCCAAGGGCAGCAAGGGCAGGAAGAGGGATTTCAGCTATAAACAGAGGGTTTGCTAGGGCAACCAATGCCCAGTGAATAATCTGAGCCTGTAAGGGTGGATTTACACTGCATCCAATGCCCAGCCCAGGTTTAAACACTCGAGTTAGCAGGGCTCAGGCTAGGTCAGCAATGGGCAACCTCGGCTAGTGAGTGAGCCGCCCAAGTGGCCGCCTTCATCGCACTGGGATGCAGGATTGTGATAACCAAGATGGTCTCCCGGGTTAGGGTATTTGCTCCCTGCACTGGCACCCCTAGAATTTGCAGGCGGTGCTGACCAACCCGTAGCAGCCCTGAGCTTGGCTGCAAGGTAGCGCTTGGCGCTCTCACTCAGTGCTAGGTGCAATCAACATGCACCTCCCTTCACGTGCCCTGGCTTTACACGCATGGCACTTGAGTAACAGCGCTAGGAAAAAACCAACCCAGACGGAAACCTGCGGAAGCCCTGTGCATGGGAGTGGAAAACGAAACGTCTCGTGGGCCGCACGCAGAACCCCGATGGGCCACACGTGGCCCTCCGGCAGGTTGCACGAGGGCATGAAAACCAGCTCCGTAGGCTGGAACTTGGAGTCGCAAGTCTAGGACGGCGTGGGCTCGAGAGCCCGTGGCGCAACATCAAAGCTATTTCTAGCACATTGGGGTGAACCCAATTAACAGGAACCTCGACCTGGGCTGAGTGGCTCCTCCCAGAGGCCACACAGACACCCCCAAGGTCTCCGCACGGCTCCCAGCCCCGCGCTCAGCGCGTACCTCCTTCTTTGCGTGGACGCGGGGCGTGGAGCACACCGCGGGGATGGCCGGTTTGGGGGCCACGTACTCCGTTACCGCCATCAGCTTCTGCCGCTCGAAGTGCATCGCCTTCCAGTGCCGGGTGACCGACTTGGCCTGGCGGACAAACTGCAGGGTGGGGAGCCAGCCTGGGGCCGGACAGAACGACAGC